GCCAGTTTTTCACCGTGATCTAAATCCCGAAAAACCATTTTTTTTATCCTCAGCTTAATTCACCTTAACAAGATCACTATTAAAGACCACAAGCAAATGTATAAAAAAAATGTCAAGCAGTGATGGAAATCCAGCGATGATAGTTTAGAGGCGTTAAAGTAAGTTTACACCAAACAAGTATAAACAAAATTGATATGCAACAGATTACAGTAAGTGATAATTTAGAATAGTTATGCTGTAAAGTACTGGACCTAAGCTCCATTTCGACATTTTCGTATTTACTTTATTTGCTACTTAAGCTTATAGTGTTGTTTAATCTCGCCGTCTTTTTTTATTAATTCACACTTACTATCAAGTACTTGAGCAGTTTTGAAAAGAGAAGTTATTTTTGGCAGCTCTTTGTGGATAGTTTCCTAGTCATTCTTTTTAAAATGTGACTATCAAAATCAGGAAATTTGATTTCTCTTTGAATTAGTGAAGTAAACAACAACAATAAAAGAAAATAAGCTTGTACTATTTTGTTCATTACTGTATGCCAGCAGATAACAAAACCAAGTATGTTTAATACTTTTCAGCTCTTTCATCTCTCTCAATTCGCTCTGCCCATTTCATCCCTCTTCCTCTACCTTCCGCAATACCCCTCTCAAAAAATAAATAGATAAATGAATAGATAAAGGTGTTGGAATCACAGATATAAAATATCATCGACAGAGTTGGGATTAATCACGGTGGATAACACAGAGGAAATAAGAACAAAAGTCCAAAGTCTGATCCAGAAACAAAATCTGCTAAGAATATAACAGAAGAAAAAAATTGATCGTCGACATCTTTTCCGTCTTCAGCTCAACTCATTTTAATTAAACTTCAACCACAAAAAAAAATCATATAGATATAACGCTCTCCTCTCTCCAAAACTGCAACGATTAGCTAAAAACCTCTGTAAATATGTGAGAAAGTTGAGATTTGGCGGTTTACGAAAAGAACCTAAAGAATAAAGCATTTTCACATTCACATTAAAAAAAATCTTAAAGTATGGCATCAGATTTGTAAAAGACTAGGAAGATTAAAAAAATCTAGAAGCAGTAAAAAAAGGAAACCAATAAAAAAGTGGAAACGAGCAGTCTTACATAATTCTGCATTAAATAATGCAGTCGTTCACTAAACAAAATCGTTGCGGTCGTCATGTAGTCAAATACTTAGAGTAAATCATTCAGAAGATTAACTAATCAGAGCTTGTAAAACTATTGAAGAAAAACTTTTCATTTTTTACCAGAAGAAATTCTTCTATTTTCCTGAACAAAAGGGAAATTGAACCCTTGCAGATCCTGCTACAAAAAAATGCAAAAACTTTTCGGCTATTTTGTCACTTTTGAAAGGTTAGCGTCGGCAAACTCTATTCTACTTACTTGTCGTTAGACGAAAAAAGTAAGACAGAAGTTGAGAGAAATAAGCGTAAATTTCAGTGCTAGTCTTTCTTAAAATCTCAGGAAATATTTGATTACAACAGAAGAAACTTCCTAAGAAACACTGAAACAGCTACAGCGACAATTCTTTTCAACTGACAACCAAACAAAGAATTCTTTTTCGATATGGACGAGCAGAAAAGATTGTTTAGCTTAATCAAATCTGAAACATCGCTTGTCATACAAAGCGAAAGAAAAAAAAAAGAAGTAACAAATTTCCAATTCTGTAAAATTATTTATTTTTTTCTTCTTCTTCTTCTTACTCTTTTTTTACCAGTTATTTTTTTTCCAGAAATCACTTCATAATTTTCGACACTTAAATTGTAAAAAAGTGAAAGAAAGAAAAAGAAAGAATATCGATGTATCAGCAGTTGTCTCGTGCAACAAAGATCGAAAAAAAAAAAAGAGACGACGAAACAATTAAGTAGTAAAAAATTAATTCTAAAAAATTTTCGTTATTGATCCACCAGTTTTTTTGTTTTTGCAATTTTGAAACATCGCTCAAAAGAGCGAAGAAACAGCAATGAAGACCGAAGAACTGCCATACTAAAAGTCCTTTGGGATGTATTTGTATATGTTTCTTATCATTTTGTTTCCTTGTTTCTTTTTCAAAGCTTTAAAACTTTAGACTTAAAAAAAAACAGAAAAAAGGAAAGAAAAGAAATGAAAAAAACCAAAATTAGATAAAGTGTCAATTTTTCAAAATGCTATTGCCTGGTTGTAGTCTTTTCCATCTTCTTTCCTTTATTTTTTTTCCCCTCACCACATGACTGCAAATGGTTGTTAATCAACCAGATTATGGTTGATTGATAATTCTGTTTCCTGGTTTTTTTAATTTCTAAACAACCAAAAAACAAAATACTACAAAGAACAAAAGATTCCAGTTTTAATGCTAGCTTCAAAAACAGCTTATATTAAAAAAAGAATTTTTTTTTTGAAATGCATTATGAAAAGAAGAGGGGAAAAAACACTAATCGCTAAGTGAAAGGTTTATTTTACTTATTTTGCATTTAACATTGTTTACGGTATTTTTTATCTACCATATTCAGGCAGTTAGATGATTGACTACATTAAGATCAGTTGAAAGTTAATAGTTTAGAAATTTAAAACTGCCAGTGTACGACTAAGTGACTGAAATACAGAGCGGATAATGGAATTCATAGTGATCAATTAGCTTGTGAAATTCTATACCTGATCTGTATCTTCATCTGTATTTGATTCACTGTTTTCATCGCAAGGCACAATTTCAGAAATTTTTACTGTACAGTTGTCAGTGAACGACGATACACAAGGCAATTCAACGGATGTTGACGGCGGTAATCGGCTAACGGAGAGCAGTTCCGAAGACGATGTCTCCGCGGTTAAATTTTGCATTCTAACACTTTCGTCCATCGATAACGCATATGCATCCACAAATACTCAGTATATACAACGATAACTTAAGGTAGATTATTCGTAAGATCAAATTTGTCTTCTACAGTTTCCTGTAAAACATATAGTGGCTGTTATTAAGTGAAAAATATAACAGTAAACAACTGACAAGTATTCGATATAAAAGCAGCGTCAAAATTTCTGATAAAAATCATATTGAAACACCATAAACATAATAAACGCTGTAATTCTACAGATTACTATTTTAAAACAAGACACTTTGTCAAGAGTTATCATCACTTGCAACTCCTCTATTTTTCTGTTTTATTAGACCAGTCTAAGCTATTCATCTTCTCGATTTTAGAGTACGCAAATACCAGTTAATTTATTATACCCAAATCACTATTAGCTAACCACTAACCTCTATACCGTATATAAAACAAAAATTACAGATAAATTTATTACGAAACATCTTATTAGTGCATCAAAGTGACCATCAAACAGTTTCTTTTTTGCAAAGTTTACACTAAATTTTCAGCTATAATCTCTTGTTAAAAATTTATTTATTACTTTCTTTTCCTAGCTAGTTGCAAGATTATTTAGCTTTAAAACTCTGCAGCTTACTAAAAGTACCATTAAAAAAACAAACAAAAAAAGTCAAGTTGAAATTCTAAGATAAATCTGTTGTATTCAACAGAAATACATACAACTATTTTTTCAATACAACCATATATCAGTTAATGCATTTCAGTTTTGTTAGCAATGTTCACTTTGTAAGAATACTTAATGATTAATAATCGCTTCAAAATTATTACACTTTAATAACAGTAATTTATGTGTTATACTTCTCAAACCCATTAGTTTAACTCAATTGCACTATAAAACAATTATATTCTATTCATAATTATTAAAATACAAAGAAAGTGACAAAACAAAGACATAATTTTTATTAAATCAAATCCGGAATAGCTATTCAGAATAAGACTTTGTAAGTGATTCACATATTTTGCACACGAGAATTTTTCTTATGATTAACACTGTTATACCTTAAAAACCAAAGTTCATTCATTTATTTTTTGCACAAAACTGCACATCGCTAAACCACAAATAAGTAAATTAATTAAAAATTATGATAGATATATGCTCCTTTTTTTCTCTTTTTTTCGTAACAGATACTTGAAGATAGCTGTGTTTTAAGTATTTCTACATAAAAAAACTGTATAAATTACTGATAGTACACCGAGAAATAAATAAAAGTTTCAAAAAATTCACATTTTTTAACCAATATATGACACAGTAAAAAAGTTGCTGAAGAAAATTTTCATTTTCTTTTGGCAGCAAAATATGTGAAGAGACGTCCGATTTCTAAGAAACACATTTGCCTACTTTGGTTGACGAAAATTAACTTGCTGAAAAGCTGAACAGTAGAAAGAGAAGTGTTAGCAATATTGAAAGCAACATTACTTTTATGAATTTTTCCCATCTTTTATTGTCAGAAATCATAATTATAAGTCTTCAAAAAAATAATTATAATAACATTTGCTTTTTGCAGTACTTTAAAGAAGGAGAAAAAAGAATTTTTTTTTCAAAAGAACAATAAACTACTACTACCAATCTGTTTTGCACAATTTATTTCGCTTTTTTCTGCCCCCCCCCCCCCTCTCCCTTTCTTTTTTGTTTTTGTTTCAAAACTCTTCAACCACATACCGCTTTTATATTACATTTTCGTTAATGGAGAAACCATAGAGACAGATGGAGGTTGGAAGAGTGAAGAAGAAGAGGGTTGGGCAAAAAAGGTTGAGTAGGTTTATATGAATGAAATAGGCAACATTGAAATTAAATGACAACTTGTCAACAGCTCAAAATGTACCTCAGAAACAGCTTCAAAATCATCGACATCTTCTTCCCCTTTTTTTTTTTCGTTTGGCAATTCTCTGATTTTAACTGATTTGACTGCATCAAAACAGCCAACAACAGTATGTTTGTTAAATTTAACATTGACCAAACCGATCAGTACCGTCAATGGTGACATTTAATCCAAATCTATAATCTGTCCAAAAAAAAACTAACAGTTTTATTTGACAATTTCAATTTGGTTATTAAAAAAAAAACAATATGAAAACAGAAGATGAACAAAAGGAGAAAAAAAATGCATTACTTTTGACTTGTCTTCAGCATAACACTTTATTGGTTTGCCAGCTATTGGAACAGTTTTTCTTTTCTTTTTTTTTTTTT